CTGTATCAAAGTGGCCATTTTCATTTAGGTGGAGGAGAAATGGGTGAAGAACCCTTTTGTCTGTAACCACAACATTTTCCTTTAGTAGAAAGAGGTCTGTCGACCTCTATGGAACCTGCACTAGGTTGATTGGGCAGATCTCAGTTGGAAGAAGGAGAATCCAGTGGCTGAGGGCATGACTGAATAATGGTTTTGTATCTCAGGGCCAAAGGAGATGGACCCGAGCAGTTACAGGGAGCAATGTTGGGACAGAGACAGGAGTAAATATAGACTTGTCAACTTGTGCAACTATGGAGGGCAAAAAGACTCTTCACATGGTGTGAGAAAGACTCTAATGGAGGCATGGAAAGATCTGTCTGCACATCCACTGTAGCAATGGAACGTAGTTCAGCAGTATATGTCTGAGATGGAACAGGGGACAACAACTTCCGAACCTCAGGGCAAGAAATGTTGTACCTCTTTCTTCTCCACCCACTTAGGGCAAGATCAAAGTATGAGGGTATGAACCACTACAGTTGATGCAGTGAGGGTCTAGTTAACAATTGTAGGCATCATGGTCTTTGCCACCACAATGAGCACACATCAAAGAACCATCACAAGATGCCATTGAATGTCCGAACTGCTGACATCGGGAACACCTGAGTGAGTTAGGAATCTAAAGCCGTATCTTTCAGTTCAGATAATTTGTCTTGACAGTGGCAGGTGGACATGGTGATGTAAACATCAAACAAGAACATTAGTAGGTAGCATAATTCTTTCTTTACGAGTGGAGATACATCACACAACAGAAACTCCTTGGCTGGAGAAACCAGCGAGGATCTTTCATAAATCCCCCTCAACAATCACTTCTCTGGAGGAATTCAAAGTAGCATGGGGAGTAACCTCAATACATATATCCCCAATGGCCTTTGAATTCAGGAGGAGTTCACTGTGTTTTGGTGTAGATGTTTCCACCAAGATGTCCTCAGAATATAGCTTCTTCACCGACTTCATAGAACAAGCAAGCCTTTCTAATCTCTTCTGAATAAAAAAGTGAGTCATTTGCCCAAAAGAATGTATGATAAAAAAAATGAGATACAGGTTCAGAATGGGGTGGAGACTGCTGTTCAGAATCTTCCAAATGTGGTCACTTCCCTATCAACGTTTTTTTTTGAGTCACTGGGTGCAGGATCCATACAAAATAGAGCAACTTAAGTGTCCACTGACCCCACCCACCATGGAGTCCTACAAGGGAACACACTACAATGCTAAAGCAGAACATTGTAGAGAAGCCAGGATTTCGTAGACTATATACCCAAACACCAATATCAGAAATAATGGCCACAACATCTGTTGAGATCCTCCAACACTGGTAATTGGTTGACCCTAGCCCAACAGGACCAGCTGACTGACTCTACGGTTGCCACCCCAAGGCCACCAGTCTACAGGAATTCAAGGCCAAAGTGATGTGTTAAAGTATTACCGACATAAAGGACCCATCAATGACACCTCTCAACCACCAGGATCTTCCTTCACGGGTTGCCATACATAGCAAACACATGTGTGGATGTTTAGATCCCAGAGGAGGTAAACTGAAAGTACAGAACTTTCCCTGGGAAGTCCCCTCACTATGCACAGGAATCTTCCTCGAGGGGCATTTACAAGAAAACCATAATTTTTATATTAAAGTTATGACAAGGCAAACACCACTGCTATAATTCTAGTGAGCTATATTAATTCAAGACTTTAAAATGAGTACATTGCTTTAATTTATCCAGTTCAGTACCCTCACTCTTAATTGTCTTCTGCCTATTATCTCCAAAATGCCACAAATATTTTGTTAAAATGAATTTTATTTCTTTTATAGGTCAGTTTCTCACTCACCTTCTACAATCTTAAACCTATAAGATCTCGAACAACAACAACAAAAAACCTAAGTTATTCACCTGTGAAAACTATCAACCATTTTGAGATGAATTCTCAAGTCTTTCTTGGTAAGATGTTCCAACATACGGGCATCCACAAGACACTCCATAAATGTTGACCGGTACTGAGGTAAACCAAGGCTAGGAAGCCATTCATTTCCTATCCATTCATGGTTCATTTCACCAAATACTAAACTCTAAAAAAAGAAAAAAATCAATAACATCTTATCAAACCTTACATAAAGGTAAGAGGAGAGAAAAATGATGACATTTAAAAACAAACTTAACTTTTTCAGAAACATAATTTTCCATACAAATTCAATATTATCATTAATAATACTTTCAAAATGTCAAAAACTTGAATGAATTTGTGTGTAGGTCAATTATTGTTTAATTGCTTTGAAATCTCGTACGTGAATAAAACATCCTGTAAAATGATTTAAATGAAAGAAAAGTAGCTGAGGATGTACATTTAAAACATCAATTAATAAAAGGAAGACATCTAAACAGTAGACTGAACTCTGAAATTTAGGTTTATATTGAACTTAAAGAATATAAAAATAAACACAGTGACAAGATATACCACAAATTTTGATTTTTCTATAGTAAGTACCTGTAACACCAGAATAAATACTCAGCTAGCATTATTAAATGCTAACTTACTGCTCACATAAAGATAGCATGAAGAATAATACTTACAGTTTGGGTAGGCTTGTCACATAAAGCTAGCATGTAGAATGAAACATACAGTTTGGGTAGGCTTGTCACATAAAGATAGCACGTAGAATAATACTTACAGTTTGGGTAGGCTTGTCACATAAAGATAGCATGTAGAATGAAACATACAGTTCGGGTAGGCTTGTCACATAAAGATAGCATGTAGTATGAAACTTACAGTTCGGGTAGGCTTGTCATATAAAGATAGAATGTAGAATGAAACTTACAGTCCGGGTAGGCTTGGGTGAAGAAGGACTAGTAAGAGCAACCATCTCCTGTATAGCTAGACGAAGTTTCAAACGATGAAGAGGATTGCTAATGCCTATTTCTCGCTGGATTTCAGTATCAGACAAAGCAGACATGATAGCACCGCTTTTGACATTTGCTCGACAAGCTGCAACATACCAGGCTGGCATTCCCACCCAGAGCTGAAAGAAAACATCCCTTGAACTTAACAGTTTTTACACAAGTGTACAGACTCAGGCTGGCATTCTCACCAAGAGCTGGAAGGAAACATACCTTGAACTTAACAGTATTTACACAAGTGTATAGTATCAGGGTGACACTCCCACCCAGAGCTGGAAGTAGATGCACCTTGAAATTACCATTTTTTACACAAGTGTAAAACTGGTATTCTATTCTGATATGTAAAGAAATTATTTTGAACTTAATATTTTCTATACAAAGGTATAGATAGCATAGGAAAATGATTTAAAACAGTTGATTCTTGATTTCAAGTACTGTAAAATGTATATTGACAATAAAGTAACAGTAGCACAATTTGAAAAAACTTATGTTTTTCTTTGGACAAATTTACTCAAAAACAAAGTTTTGATAACTTGTAGTGGAAGAACCTGGTATAGCAATTTCTAGTTTTTTTTGTTCTGTATAGAGCTACAATCAATTAAGAATAATTTGTCAAAACAAAGTGAAAGAGAGGAAACATAATGCTTCAAAAGTTATGATCCCTCAAAATCATGCTTATTTTGTACTCAGATAACAGAAATAATGGTGTACATTTAAATAGAACATTTCCATTCATCACTGGTGAGAAATCTAAAAATATAATCTTTTATTCAAACAAACAAGACATGATTATTACTTCACATGTACTGTACATATTATCTTCTGATGATTAACCAATGAAAACGTAACTACAACCTTTCACCTCACAATGTATTTCGACACAAAACAAGTTTGACACTGTATGGTCAGGGTTTGATTTGACTATGTTCGCATTACGTATAATAATCGTAATAGCAGTGACTGCAACTCTCACTATGTAATACTGAATTTTACCTTATAGAAATAGCCTTTCACTTAGCTTTACACACTAGAAAGCTTCAAAGCTGGGACATACAATTTTAGACTCTAGTATATGCAAGTGGGGGAGTTGGGTCAATGAATGGTGCGTATAAACACAAGTCATAAAGTAGCAGGCCTAAGTAGTGAGATCTAGGTCTATACAAATTTATTCTTACTTCAGTGATGTTCTATAGACCTAGTAAAAACTTACAGACCAGACCTATTTTAAATGCATCTGAAAGATAGGAGTTCCATAATAGCATTCTAATACAAACCTTACACCTCTCACTGTCTCTACAATGTGCCAGGCCCAGTGTGACAGTGTCACCTAAATTTCTAGATCACAAAGTCTAGACATCTGAGATTTTTGTGTATAAATATATGACTTATATTTATACAGTATGTTAATTAGTATAATAGTAAACAATGCAGTTTAGATGCTGATAAGGCCTAGATAATACTTAAGTCATGTTTACTAGTACTTGAAGCATCATATATTCGTTTGGCAGTTGTATTGTAATATATATGCTATAGATTTATAGACCAACTTCTAAGTGCATTGTGCTCATGAACCAGTTTCAGAAAAGTCCCACATAATGACATCATTGATATGAATCGGCATGTCGTGGGATTTTTTATATAAACCAAACATCACACAATTAGATCTATAGGCCTTGCAGAAACACTGGGCTGGAATGACACTGACAGTTACAGGTGTGTAAGCCTACAATAAACACTGTAATAAGCTTATACTAATTAGCCTAGGCTTGATTTACTGTGAACATGTGCCCAAACACAAGGGGTCCTGCAGTGAATACAGTTAAAACCGGTGTAATATTTTGGATCCAAAAAACAGTGGCTGGATTATACAGACAAGCGAGGAATTATTGACAGCATAAGATGTAAACTGTGTACGGAAAATTTGGATCATATTAAGCATTTCAAGTGCTTCAGCAATGCTTATGTAGTGGGAATAATTGATCCAAAGAAAATGAAAAAGATGCCTGCAGAAAACACCAAGACTTGGAACAGCATGCTAGGTTAGGAGACTATGCTCTTACACAAAAGGAAACAAGGGAGCAAATTTATGCAGAAACGGTCATCGAAAAATCATTCAACATAGGTTCAACAGAGGACAGAAGATGGGTAAAGATGCTTATGGAGACTGCCTACACCTTAGCTGTTCAAGAGATCCCATTTAAGAAGTTTCCAGCGATTGTAGCACTTGAGAGACACATGGGCACCAATAGGCCAGATGTTCTGCAGAGATAAGAAGTGTTCTGAACTTACAACGATTATTGGGGAGGAAATGCAAAATGAATTAGTTCGAGTAGACCACTATTATTAATTCATATTGAGATTTTCATATTAATTAGGTTCTATTTAATTATGAGGTTACCAATTAGGCCTAAATAATTTAGATATATAATTGTTCATAAATTTATAGATCTTAAGATCTAGCAATTAATTTATGAATTAGTTTCATGCACAAAACTGAGTTAATTGACTAGAATATGGTATAATTTTTAGTGTAACAGAAATAAAAGTTTACTATATATATATACATTATATGAGTACTGTATACAGTGGTATCAGTATGTTATGTAAATAAATTTCATTTAGATGTAGCAAAAATGTTTTTAAATATCTGTAAAATATTTACATCTATAATTTCAATATAATAAATATATAGTCTGACTATCTGACAGATAATAGTATATATATATGTATGTATAACATACACATATATCACAGGTGATTTGAATAATTAATCTTTGATAACAATAACATAGATTTTCAAAATGTAAATTATTGCATATGTAAAATTATAAAACAGTATTAATTTCCTTATTGCAGAACCTTGCTAATGAAGAACTTCTTAATGGAGCTACTGACACCAGTGTGACAGAGAAGGAAGTCCTCTTTGTGTTGTAAGAGACAAAGGATGGATACGCAAAGAATGCTTTTTATCGGCTTAAGACAGTGAAACATGCTGATGCACAAGGTTTGAAACACACTTTATTGACATCTTTTATTGAACTTGGTGTTACTAATTCGCATAACAAAATAGCGGTATGATGGATGATGGTGCAAGTGTTAACCTACATCACAAATAGGGTTTATCAGCTCTCTTGAAGAATGACTACCCATGGTTAATACACTGTCTACATCACAGACTGGAATTAGTAATAAAAGATAGTTTTAATGGAACATATATTGTTAGATCTTTATGCACTTTATCACAGGGGCATTTGCGGGACCTAAAGGAATTGGCCAATATTATGGAGGAGGTTGTGCTAAATCCCCCAAAAGTTAATGGCACACGTTCGATTCAATTCAACTCAATATATTCAACATGGTATAATAAAATCATGCACGTATATAATGCTGACCAACATGGAAGAAACATAAAAAATATACATATATAAACTGAACAACAAAATATATACTCAAGCATGTTCTTTATGTATTTTTTCTCTCTTGTTCCTATCTTCAAAATATTTCTTTAAATCAGGTGAGGAGGAAATCCCGTTTTTGTTTGTGAAATTCCCTCTCAAAAAGAAACATTGTTGTACTTAACAAGCTATTTTCTCAGGATAACTATTCAGCACATATAAAGACTGATTGATCAATGCTGATATCAATACGAAATTTTAGGAATTGCAAAAAATTA